TAATCTAACTAAAGAAAACTTTGGATGGCCTTTTATATAGAACAAGGTGGTCTGATAAGAGTGTTGTAGCCTTAACTCTAATACATATTTAAATATTTATCGTTAGTAAATTCACATTTTACTAACAACATTTTTATCAAAGCTATCTTCTTGTATGTAATTTAAAGACTATAATTAGTTCTAATTCATTCATTTGTTCATAATACTTTCCATGGCATATAAATTGAAAAAACGTGGAAAGTTTAGTACCCAATCATACTACGTAATTTAACCATCATGTGCCCTAGGATGAGTGTGAGCTTGGTTTGTTATTACAATATATGGATATATATCTGTGATTATGTATATTTTCCAGCCGAGTATTGGTTCCCGTATGTCAAGCGACGTATTCCCGTCATAGAAACTCAGGTGGAGGAAAAGAGTCCCATAGAAGTGGCGGTCGCAGAGATGGAGTCGCAGGTCACTGAACTCTCAGAGATTGTCAACGCGAAGGCGCCAGATCTAAAGAAACTTCAACTTAGGTACTGATTTCTTTAATATTTACATTTAAAAGTTATAGTTATAATAAACTATCGTTTCATTTACTTACAATAACTTAGACAATTCTGTCATGCTTAAACTTAGATCTTGCTTGTAGTTTGTCTGTCTACACTTTGACACAATATCACAGCTTTACGTAAAACTATAGAGAAAATACACGTTAAATTATCATTTGCGGTTTAGTTAACACTTTTCAGTAGCGTCAGTGAGATTATAATACAGTGACGATGTTTACGGTGAAACACGATATTGCAGGCTGCAAGGCAGCGTGTGCGTGCAGGTGAACGCGGGTCCGCTCGCGTACGCGAACGCCTTCCTCGACCCCACGCTCGCGCAGATGTATCCTGACGAACTTGTTGATAAATTAAAGTCCACTTTCAAGTAAGTCAATTTTTTTATTTATAGTCACAAGAATTTAATGGCAGTTTTTTGACACAGGGTGACTGCAAATTTTAAGGGTGTGTCCATGTTGCAAATTATTTCTACGTGAACATAACAGTAAATAATATATTATATTGATACATCCAAATACAATAGCTAATTAAGCGACATGTCATAACATTATGTGATCCTTGAAGGACTATAACACTCCCGTTAATTTTATAACAATTAGAAACTGTTAGAAATCATAATTTAATTCCATTTCTTTCTATCCGACGTGCCAACTAAATATTACACGCGCTAATTTATATACGTTATGAAATTCCAGAGAGTTCCTGACAGTGTGCCATTCAGCACTGCAACTGAACGCGAAGCTGATCAGCTCGGATCAGGTGTCGTACCACGAGGCGCTGGAGGCCAACTACTACAAGCTGAGCGAGGCGCTGGCCGGCGTGCTGGGACAGCCGCTACAACATATCCTGCTCAACGGCACCCTCACCGCCACTGTCTCCGGCGTAGAACTCGACTCCAGTAATGCTTGAACCCCGATACTGAAACGATAACAAATTATAGGCCGTCACAATATCTTTTCATGACTCAAGGTCAACTGGGCGTGGTGCATCTCGTTACGCCCCCATACACTTATTTATTCTACGCATCGACTCGTGCGATGTTCCGGGCAGCCAACATATTTGAATACTGTAATATGATTTATCCGTTGATTTCTGAGACAAAATTTTCTCTGTTTAAAACATATCGTTATCCTTATCATTGTTTTTAACAAAACAGAGATAACAATACTTTTTAAATGAGGATTTAGGTCTCAGAAACCTACCGTTTATTAAGTAATTTGTCTTATCTATTGCTACATTAAGTTGTAGATTAACATCAATTTGTCTTTAATGCTTTTCTAAGATTTTTACTATCAATCGTATAATTAGATATGGTAAAATATGAAAACACGTAGTTAAAATAGTCAAATTATTAAAAGCTAAATGCTATTCTTATTTTAAATTGATTGTTGCTGCGGTTGTTAATAATCATATTCTATTAAAGAACGATTTCAAATGCTGACTAAACGAAAAATCTCTTAGTAATATCAACTCGGACAAACTTGATATTATACATATTGAACAACTTTTCATTGATACAATTTTTTAAATATCTATTGTAGTCGTAATTCTATTACATCCGAAATATTACAACATACACGATTAACCGTTGGTTTCTGAATCCAAAATATATGTATAAAACCCTGTCAATTAATATTACTGTCATTATGTTGGATAAAATAGATACGAAAAGGGAATTTTGGTCTCAGAAACCCACGGTAAAACAGTCAATTACCAAGATCCATCCATTTTACTATGTCTGGAATTGTATCCACATTGAGAAAAACTAATGAACATAATTTGATACTTGCTTAGAATGTGACTCTACCGTCCGTTTTGACACTTTTTCACTACACTGACTGTGCTCTTTTAATACAACTGACTTATTGTTGGTTTCTGAGATAGCATAGCCTCTGTATAAAACATATCGTCATCCCTGTCATTATCTTTGACAAAACAGGGATAACAATATATTTTAAACGGAGTCTCAGGAACCCACGGTTAATGAATGGATTATGTTTATTTCCTGCCATTGACACTTCCTGTAACATAAGCGACTTGACTGATTTATTGATTCATAGGAACTTTTCCAAGTATGTTTTAGATAATTGTAAATTTTCACATATACAAAAACAGCTATTTTGAAAACTGACGGTCATATTGTTATGCTAATGAACTATAATAATCTTTGTCAGTTGATGTATTGGTTTTTAAAATTAACTATAATTTGCTTGTATAATGAGCGACGAAGTTAATTATAATTTATCTCATCGTATTACTTCATGACAAAAATTATTTTAAACACTAAAACCACGATGACTTCATCGTATACAGGTATCTCATTAGATCACTACACATCCCCACTAAGGGATTAAGAGCCTACCCTAAGTCATGGGTGACTAGGCAAGTCAACCACGAGGTATTTACAAGTAATTATTGCCAATTTAATCTCCTATTCTACTGTAGTCTGTAAGATATTTGTCCTATTCGAGTAATTAAGTTCCTTTGTATTCTATCATAGTCGCATCTTTACTATTTCTCTTACTAAAAAGTAAATTATCATTGTAATCTTATACACTGATCTCTATAGATACACGATATATACGTATTTGCTTGAAAATTACAGCATTTGCTTTGTTCAAACATAAATGCGTCAGTTATAGTTACTGTAAGGTAAATTCAAAACTACAAATTGCCTAATCGATGTCATTATTTCGAATTCCCAATATAACTTGCGACGCCAATATGGCGGAACTCAAATACGCACAAAATATAACGGCTTTTAGCCGTTAGTGGAATATAGAGGTCAGTGATCTTAAACATACGCGTATGATGTATTCTGAATTTTTGTTAAAGTTTTTCCTTAATATCTTAATTTTTGCACCAAAGTAGGGACCTGATTATTTTCTTAATCATCTCGATTGTTGCTATTCGCTAATTTATTTTATAATATTTTTATGTACAGTCGAATTCAATGGAAATGAGAAATTAGGGTTAAACATTTCAGTGACTGACAATTACATTTGTTGTCTATGGATTTTTTAAGGCTTAACTGCTTAAATTCATGACAAAACTGTTCTAATTACTCTGTAATTAAAATTTTATAAAAGTAAAAAATTGTTTAGTTGGTTTTGTTATAATTTCTCATATCTATTGAACAAAACTATTAATTCACGATTTGTTTCATGATACAAGTTAAATGTTTATGTGAAAATATTTTAAATGTCTTGTTTAATTTATTTTGTTAGATATTCATTGAATAAAACATTTTTGTTTTTTTTTTAAATAATTTTGATTGCGTATGTAGAAATATTTATTAAGTGTACATGATGTATGACATTTATATAAATTAATGAATACTCAGTTCATTCCACAACTTATTTATTTACCCTATTATGTAATTAATACTTCAAATTAATTTTATTATTTAAATATTGATAATTTCATACGATCAATTTGTCTAAATAAATGTTAAAAGTATATTAAGTCATCTAAAAATGATATATGTTTGGTCTTATTTAAATTTGTATTCCATTTTTTTTTCGCCAGGTTTCTGAAGAACGTATTAAATCATTAATTAAAGGTAACATTAATGTCATTTTGTTACGTTAAATTGTCAAATCAATATTAGACGTTTTAACGTGGGTTTCTGAAATTACATATCCGTGTAAAACCTATTGTTATCCCTGTTTTGTCAAAGAAAATAAGAGGGATATATTTTATACAGAGATTTTGGTCTCAGAAATTCATGGTAAATCAATAAAAATTTTGTTACACAGCAATAAAATAAAGATCACTCGACGCTTAAAACTTTTGGAAACCAGGCGTTAATGTTTTAAAAAATATGTTTTTTAAATAATACCCTTTTATACAATTCTAATTTTATTCGAATATTTGTTAAACATTTTTAAGTGGATAGTACTTAATTTATAGGAAAGGTGACAAAGAATTTGTGATTAATTATACCCTTTAAGTCAAACTGAGTATGCCATAAAAAAACGTTTATAGTGTTAGGATATATCCAATGTAGTATTTGTATTAATATTTTAATTGTGCACAAAATAAAGACTTGTGTGATTTACTCAACTGTAATCTCGATTTCGCTGTTTTAATACATTTTTAAAAACAACCCTTGTTTTATTTTTCCATCCTTAGTAGTCAACTAAGAAGCATAACATACAAAGGTCAGTGAATTGTATATAAGCTTAGATTAAAATTATTAGAACGGCTAGGGAATAGCTGCCCACGCATGAACGCTGCGCTTTCTCCGCGCGCGTCATCATAGACAAATATCAGATTAGACACGCTTTTCCAGTCTATGTTAACTACAGTATTTATGAAATAGTTTTTTATTCTTGGTTATTAAAGTTAAACATTTTTTTCTTAATCAATCAAAAAGTTATTGATGTGACCTGAAACCATTTAAGTTTCTACCAGTTTCTACTAAAAACCAAAAACAGATAATGTACATTATCTGTGGTAAATGCAACACAAATACAAGTGCGAGTGTTACTCGATTGGCGTAAGAATTTTATTGTAACAAATAGTTTTATTGTGCGAAGTTTATTAATTTTAGTCAAGGACATGGAAGACGAATTAGAGGACAGAGTTTTACACCAAACATATTTGTCTTTCATGAAAATTTTTTCAAGATTTAGCAGCAGTGTTGCGTTTGATACTCCGGTGAGCTATTTATGGAAGATGGTGCGTCTGTATTTACTTCGATCAGAGTTTGTCGTGTTCACGTTAGGCATAATTATATTCTTCATGTATCTACAAACAATTGAATTATGGAGTCGAACATTACTCAGCAGATTGTCTCAAGCTATGAGTCCACTGAGTGCTGTTCAACGTATGAAACTTATGGAGGGTTCAGATTCAGATAAACAGAGCTGGGAATTAAAAGGTTCAGTGAGTGCAGCTTACGCAATCAAAGGCCGGCGAATGCATATGGAAGATAAGTTTATTATTAATGAAAACATAAATAATACTGGTATTTCCTTGTTTGCAATTTTCGATGGACACGGTGGTGAATTTGCCGCCAATTATGCAAAAGAACACCTGATTCAGAATCTGTACAACAAAGTAGTTGAACTAAATGCATTTAAGGATGGTAAAGTGATCACGCCATCTCCATTGAATAGTCCTGAAGAACCAAAGATAGAACAAGACAGTAATGTTGAAAGGAAGACAAGTTTCAAGAAGTCCATTAGTGCTGCTGATGATACATCTAGAAAGGAAATAACAGACCCAGAGTTATTGGCTCAGCTATCAAAAGCCAGACCCATTACAAGAGAAGTAAGAGCGAGCCCAAAGCCAATTAAACATTTTGTTGTACCATTAGCGAGTTATTTGGAAAAAGGAAAGATAAACTTTGGCAAGTTATTGACAGACGAAGTTTTAGCAGCTGACAGACTTCTTGTAGAAGCAGCTAAGAGGTCTTTTAATGTGGCGGGCACTACAGCCTTGATAGCAGTATTAGAAGATAACCAGCTGATTGTGGCCAATGTTGGTGACTCCAGAGGTGTTATGTGTGATTCCAAAGGAAATGCTATTCCTGTATCATTTGACCATAAACCACAACAGGTATGTAATCACATATTTTCACAAATGAATTATTTATTTAGAATATTGTATTTGTTGGTTCAATGTTGTATATTTATAACTGCGGTAAATTTAGAAATATCATTTGTTATTTTATGATGATAGAAAACATAATCCTAAACATTGTAGTGCATTTTATGGTCTATAAACAGAAACAATTCAAGTTACTTTTTCGTTAGTGTTTGAAATTATAAATTTTCCGAATCAATTATGAAACCAACAGACATACCTTATTTTTAAAATAAAATTATTTTAATCTGGATAAAAACATTTTGATTATAGGTAAGGGAACAAAAGAGGATTGAAGCTGCAGGAGGTTATATTGCATTTAATGGTGTGTGGAGAGTGGCTGGTATCCTTGCAACATCCCGTGCAATGGGTGACTACCCTCTAAAAGATAAAAAATTCGTCATAGCGGATCCAGACATACTTACATTTAATCTAGACGACCACAAACCAATGTTTCTAGTTCTTGCCTCCGACGGACTCTGGGACACTTTTACTAATGAAGAGGCAATCAAATTTATTAAGGAAAGAATTGATGAGCCAGACTTTGGCGCCAAAAGTTTGACCCTACAAGCATATTACAGAGGGTCTGTAGACAACATTACTGTTCTTATCATAAATTTTTTACAAAATAAGATTTCCACATCAAATATTTCATAGTGAAATTGATTGAAATATGAAGGCATATATATAAAACCTATAGATACTTAATCTTGACTACAAAAGTGAGGCGAAAAAAGGTGTGTAGAGACCTGTATTGGGGTATTTTCAGTACAAGTGTCCTTTTTAATACAAAATGACTTTACAAAAATCTCCTGTCAATTAGACATCAAATTTAAATCTATCCATCTACAGGTTACCCATCTAAGTTTCTATGAAGATTTGTTAAAAATTAAATCACTATGATTAAGGATTAGAAATAAAGTATACCAATAGTATTGCAGCTTTTGGTAACAATCAAACTAAATCTATTTGAATGTAATTGTCTTAAAATGCATAATATTTTTACTTGAAAATGCTATGTTTACATAATGTGTGTAAATAGTTGTCCTTTAAAAAAAACAAATGGAAAATGTATTTTATATTTTAGTATATCTAATTTTAAAAAGTTTCAATTTCAAAGATTTTTGAATGGTTGTGATTGTGGATAGATGCTTGTTGTTTTTATTTTAACCTTTTGCTTTCACTTTAATCCAGAATAGTTGGATTTTTTGACTAAATATTAAGTATACAACTCTTCTGTCCTTCAAACCTTGCCAGTACATAAAAATAACTTACAGAAAAAGTATTCTTTATATGTGTAATAATTGTTAAATAGAGTAATTAATATATGTTTTTAAAGCATTTGATGTATTTATGTAATGTGAGAAACTTAACGTATTTTTACCTTGGGTGCTAGTCATTGTTCATTTCATTTTAGTTTGGCATAATTTGTAGAAAATAACATATTATTTGAGGTACAAATAATTTTACTAAGTAATGTGACTTAACAGAATATATCTTTACAAAATCTTTTAAAGTATATTTTTATATCAAATTAAACTTTAACAATTTATCAATAAACTAAACGCTTTATTTCATGGAAATATATTTTAGAACTATTTATCAAATATTGGCCTAAATTGGTCTTTTGTTTAATAATTGTACATAAAATTGGGGCCAAAACTTTATAAAATAACCATATTTTGACTGTCAAAAAAGAAAACTTTGTCTACACCTCTTCAAAAACTTTTTGTGCCAAAATACAACTTTATAATTACAAATGTCATTTATCAGACTTAATACAATATTACCTATAGTATTGAAGTAGATTTTAATATAGTACTGTTTTTGGTTTGTGCTTTTTAACAATTATATGGCCATGTGTTAGGTGTTTTACTTTTTTTAATTATAAATGTTTAATAATTGTTATAAAAGTCTATAATAATATTATGTGCCACTGTCCTATAATTAAGAAAAATGATATTTATCCCTTAATGTTACCATTTTTTGGGATACCTAAATATTAAATGTTTAGATTGTGATAATACTCTTTTCTTTTTACCTATCCTTTTCTGTGTTCTCATGTTTTAGGCAGATATAATCTTGAGAGATCTACCCAGGAGAACAAAATTGACGCCTTCAGTGTTGTCATTTACAGTACAATGACCTTCCGAAAATCGACTCACGATTAAATGTCAAACTTGTATGAAACACCATCTATAAATTAGTTATCTATGGTTATATGTGTTTCAATTGCAGATTGGTAATACAAAAAATGGTTTATGTAATTTAGTTTAGAACGAAATACAATAGAATGTTACACTACAGAATTACACAAGTAATACTATTCAAAGAGTATGTTATGTAAAATGTTCCATGTAATGACTCACGTAGTAAAGATGCTCATGTACACTTGATTTTTAAGACAGGTCAAAAAACCGGGGATGAATGATTACAAAATGCCAAAATTTCTCTCAAAAAATAATAAAAGACATTACATTTCAATATTTATTTATAAAAATAAAACACAATCTTTGGTTTTATAACCAAATGTAAGAAAGATACAATAATAAGGTTATATGTATTGCCGCAATATATATTTTTCAAATTAAACTGTATATGAGACTATCTAAATTACTATAATGGCAATATGTTTAGCTTAATTGGCACTGGACTGTTCCAAAATATCACCAAACATTTTGTGGCGTTTATTTTTTTTTAAATTAATATTCGAAGAGAGCAAAAGTTCACATTATAATATATAATTTGATTTAGTGATAATTTAAAAGACCAAATAAAATATAATTTGAGCTATTTTTAACTATATTGTGACTAGTTTTTGTAGGTTTGCTTATATGGGTTTTCACTACCCAAGTACACAAACAAAAATATAAATATTGTCATCTCTCCCACTGTATTTTAAAAAACAGGTATAACATTTTGTTATTGTACAGATTTTTTGACATCTACCCACGATAACAGCTTCAAATAGAATTGGGAATGAATATCTGCAGGCGGTATCAATTTAATTTGTTTGGTATATATATATATATTTATAAAAGGCACTATGAAATAAGATTGCCAATGTATCAGTCTAAATATTCAGTGCAGTAAGCATAACATATAGAAACAATATATTAAAATATTTTTTTTGAAAGAAAATTGTTTAAAGCTAGGTAAAATATTGTTGCTTGTTTAGATATCCATATTGACTATTACTATAATATAATATATTTTTAATAACATATTGTGATGTAAAAAGGAAAATGAATATAATTTTTACTTCATATAATCTCAAATTCATCATCTGAATCATCAAACTGTCTGTCAACATCTTCAAACTCTGGAATTAAAATAAATTAAAAATACATCATCAATACTACTAATATAAATGCTAAAATTTGAATAGATCAATATTAAAGGAATTATATTACTAAGTAACTCCAGAATAACTGAATAAATCTTAACACAAAAAGTGATACATAACACTGAAAAAGCCAATTTAATTTCTTTTTTATTCTACTTAAATGAAGTGTCCAATAGCTAGTCTTATATTGAAATTGAATATGTAATGATATTTAATTCAGCAATATGTTACCTGTAAACAATGTTGTGTTCTGTAGATCAATGTCAGCATTGGAAGGTCCCCAATGTGGTGGCCGTGTCTCACATAACTCAAACAGTGGCTGCGACTCGCGCATCAAACTCTCCTCTATTATAACGCATAGCTCGTCGAAATCACTCCTCGTGCGGCAAAGAAAACACTAGAATTGGTTGCATATGTTATTTCTAGCAGTAAAATAATACTTAGGCAATAATTAAGAGTTCAAAAATCCTGAAGCCAAGCTCAAGCAATCTATACATATATAGATATGTTTCCACTGCTCTAAAGAGAATAAGAGTGACAAATGAGTATTACAGCAATGGAACCCCACAGTGATTTAAATCGAATTGTTTATTAGTAAACTATTAGCTTTCAAAAAAAATGGTAAAAGTATATTTTATTACTTACAACAGCTACCGATGGGTCCATGGCAAGTATTGGTATTCGAGATGCATATTTGCAGTGATAGGAACAGTCCATTTCCTTTTGCTCATCTGTTGATTTATTCTGAAAAAAAAAAATTCAAATAATTTCTTACAATAATGTTCAATTATAAATTTTTTAGCGTTAGGTTACTATACCTATGGTTACTCACTTCAACTAGTCCAGATCTTTGTGTGGTGTGTGGATCTAAATATAAAACTTCATCACCAACACAACCGACCAGGTATAGAGCTTGATTTGGCTTTCCTCCGATAACACCAACAGATTGCGGAGATTGAAAGCAAATCTGACGAAACAAAATTATATTTTATTGCTATGCTTAAACGTAAACTTCTACTCAATATATTTAATGGAATCTATTTTTGTAAACAATTTTTCAACAAAATGTAAAGAAAAACATTTGTGTTGAATTCCTTACCTTAAGCCCATCAACATAAATAGGATTTATTTCACTTAGTCCTAATCTAAGAGGCACAATTAACAAAAGTGGCATCCAATCTGACACAGTCACACAGCCTGAGGACTTTGACGAGTCCCCTCGGTCATTTGTAACAATACATTGTTGAACTGAAAGAAAGAAAATATAACATAAGTGTTAAAGAAATCAGTATGTTACTAATATACAATATTGTCGTTTCACAATAATACTTACGTATATCCTCTTTTACAACCGTATTGTCTAAGGCCACATGTATTACCAATGAACTCCATTTATCATATACCACTAATTTTCTAGAAAGAAAAATATTTTGTAATGGAAATTTTATATCATATTTCCTTATAATTAAATTAACATAGAAAAAACCATGACAATTTATATTCCATTATTTTTTAAGTCAGTAAAATATCGTACTTTAAAACTTGTGCTATAGTATTTGGTCCAAACCATTGACCAACATCTTTACCCTCACTAGCTCCCATTAATGCAACCTGATGAATAGAATATGGTGCTTGTTTTCTTTCTTCAAATCTCTGTATAATTTTAAGGTATGTTGGGTCTCTGTAAAAATGTTTAAATATTTAAAGAAGAAACACTAAAGTTATGCTTAATTATGTAAATAAGTAAGTTCAACACAGTTTCTATGAAATATAATGAATATTAGATAACCACAAAGTTTTCCAATGATTCTAATAGATAGCCTTGTAATTTAAATATTGTGAAATCTTGATCATCATACTAATAATATCTATTTTTGAAACAAGAATGTTGCTGAAAACTAATGATATCAAGCATCTATTTATGTAAACTTAACACTAAATTACTCATTTTTTTCAGTGTTTGTTTAATAGTATTTTTTACCTAGTTTCTGGACTCCAGACCCAGTCAGCACACAAGTGAACTCTGACCAATGCTACACCAAGAACCATTTGGCCACATCGCAACATGCAACCCCAGCCTTTATCAGACGTTAGCCCTTCATCTCCTATTGGAACAAACCCTTTTCTGTACGTACACCAAATAATTGAACTAATATCTCGTCTTATACGGTCCAAATCTGAAATTTAAATATAACCAAATGTTACACTAATATTTAATTGAAAAATTACTTCAAATTGTTATCTAAACACCTTGAATTGCGCTATATTTCTTCCCCAAAACCCAAACATTTTCCTTTGTCTTAGGAATATCATCGGGTTCAACAGTTGTACCGTCAGATGATAAATAGCAAATATCAAACATTGCATCCATGGTGTAACATAATTTTCTATTTCCTGACTGGAAATTAAAAAAAAGCTTTATTTATTGAGAATTAATGAAAGACCAAGTCACGGCGTATTAAAAAGAACAAGGAATAATGCAAATTGTGTTTTGTAAACATGTCAAACTGTCAAACACAAACATAAGGCAAAGAGTACGCAACATCCAGTTCGTCAAATGCGAAAGCCTAATCGACGAATTTTAATTATTTTTATGAGCTTCATGAAAGCTTAACTTATTTCGGTAGTCTTTGAGCTTATGTTTTTAATGATAAAAGTAAAAAAATCAATAAAATGTACTATAAAAACTCCTTAAAATAACAGCAGGTGTACATAAAAAAATTGACTTTTGTCATAGATTTGATTTGCCAAAAGTTCAAGTATAAATTGACAAGAACCAGTATAGTATGACAAGAATCTTGTGGCGGTCGGAAAATATGTAAACTAACAATGTCATTTTGACAGGATCGTATCTTGACCAATGAGGAAGCGGTAGCTGCAGTTTAATGTTGCCAATTATGCAATTTCAAAATTCCATAAAAATATCACGCACGATGTTATGACACCTAGGTTAAATTGCTAATGTGTTTGAATATGTACATTTAAATAGTAAGCAATTACTACGAGAAATCAGGTCATAACTTGCAAATCAATTACTTGGAGTTGTAACATGGATGACTTTCGGAAGTTAGGAAATTTTTGTTTACTGGTAAACTTTAAAACTTGTAGGCCCGTGCCAATGTCAAAAAATTGCAATAACATACTTGTGGGACTATATCAGACAGTAAGTGTTTTTGAAAACATCTTCATTTATAAATATCATTATGCAAGTTATCATTCTTTCTTTTATTTGTTATGAAGTTATAACAATAAATCATAGGCTTACTTATTTTATTTAAACTCTGATTCCTCTATGAAACTGGAACCGAAATAATATTCATCTTTAATTTAAAGTCGCTATTTCAATTTAAAAGGGGAGAAAATAGAAACAACTCGTGACCCACTTGTTAAGAAACCATGGAATCGAGTGCGTTAGATTTCGTGGCACAATCTTGCATGGATTTAACAGAAGCCTTGAACACCGCAGTATCTGAAGCAGACAGAGATATTTTGATTGTCAATCATATAAAAAAAGTTTCGTCTGTAGTTACCGCTGTTGAAGATTTTAAAAAAGGTATGTTATTATATTCTGTTTTAATTTCTTAATTTATGTATCAATAATTGTTTTAAGGGTTTATTTTCAGATTTAGAATGGGTTAATGTGTCTGAGCCAATTTCTTTATCTCAACATTGTAGTGACAAAATAGTTGTTCTGGACTTTTGGACATATTGCTGCATTAATTGTTACCATGTTCTGCCTGATTTAGCACATTTGGAAAAGCTACATAGTGTTGAAAATGGACTTGTTGTGGTTAGTAATTATCATAATTTTTATACAATTTGAAATACAGTCAAACCTTAATAAGTGAGAGGCCAAGGGACTGCCATATATTTCTAGCTTATCGAGGTTTTTCTCCAACCCAAATTTTGTACATCAAAACTTTTTAAAAGGTTTTATAATTAAATTTATATTAATAGTAGAAGTATTTATTGGAAGATAATAAAAGTAATACTAACTTTATTGTCCTGCATTTTTTCCTTACAGATTGGAGTACATTGTGCCAAGTTTAACAATGAAAAGGATTCATCAAATATTCTTGCAGCTGTGAGGAGGTATAACATTCACCACCCTGTTGTCAATGATGCAGATAGCTCATATTGGGAAGCTCTTGGAATACATTGTTGGCCTACACTACTCATATTAGGTACATTATTAACTAAACAATTTTTTTAGCTGTGAGGGAGACATAAAACATAATTTGTCTTAGCAAACTGGATTATTGGATTTATAAATTCTTCAGTTTGCCTTTTAAAATAAGTAACATTATAGAAAAATAATTGGTAAAATATGAGTATAACACTTTTTAATAATTTTGGCATTGTAATTTTTTTTTTATAATTTGTTTTTTTAAAAAACTACATATGATATATTAAATAAAAACATTACTTTACAGAATTTAATATATTCCAAAATTTGGTACACAATGTGGCTTTTGCATGTTTATTTGTATTTTTAAATATCTTTGCTTTCATAGGTCCAGGAAATAAACCATTATTTGTTCTAACTGGTGAAGGGCATAGAGAAGAGCTGGTATCTTTTGTTGGTGTAGCTATAAGACATTTTGGTTTCCGTATCTCCACAGCAGAAATACCTATGTCACCTTCTAATTATATTAGACCCAAAGATTGTGATGTTTTACAATTTCCAAGCAAGGTATGTGTAATATAAGCTTTTTTACTAGCTGTCGCCCCCGACTACCCCCTCATGGAATAAAAGAAAACTTAATTAGTAGTCTAAGCATTCATCCAGACAAAATGCAGTGAAATCCATGCAGACATTGAGGAGTTTCTAAGAAACATCCATTCATCCTACATCCAAATATTCACATTTATAATAAGTAAGGTTATTTAACAGTAGCTTTTTAGGTAATGAATATTTTTTTTTGTCAGGTGGCATTAAATCCTTTCTATCGTGGTAGAGGTGAGGAGCCATTTTTAGCGATTTCTGACACGGGCAACCATCGTGTAATTTTAACAGACTGCTCTGGTATCATTCTGCGTATTATTGGTGGACCAGAACCTGGATTTAAGGATGGCAGTAAGTGTAGGATATAAATTGACAAACTCTAATTTAATATCTAAAGTGTATTATCATTACTTAAAGTTGCTTGTCTTGTTTCTTAGATGAAAGATAAGAATAGATCATAACATACTAGCTGTCGCACGCGAATCAATCCGCATGGAATTGAAAAAAAACTTAATATGTAGCCTATGTGTTTTTCTAGACTATGTTCTATGTCTGTACCAAATTTCATCAAAAGCCGTCCATACCTTCAAACAAACATCCATCCATCTAAACACTCACATTTAAAATATTGGTAAGATTACATTTATTGCTGAGTTGATGTTTATTTTAACAAAGATTACGTCCATCACATGATGTTGTTTGAGTCTCATGTTACGTTAATTAAGGTGTGAACTTGATATTATTTTATTTGTTTTTGCCCAATCCTCGATCGAAACCACGTATTTACATAGTGTGTAATAATTACCGCCTTCCAATAATAGAAGTTGTGTATATTTGATTAATTAAAACGTAATGTGTATTTCGTGCATACAACTGCTGCAATGTTGTTTCTCGTTTTCTGTTTGCCGCTATATTGTAATAACTTATAGCCTCCTATTCAAGGAGTCAATACCAAGCCAATAACCCTTTTGTAAAGTTCACTTAATAGAGTTGCTGTGGGTGAGATTTGAAAATCGCCTTTTATATCCTTCTTGGGGGATCAGGGTTATGTCAGGCTGTGTAATTCGCCCTAGGCGGTCCTTACTAACTCCAGCACTGTGTGATGTTTATCAACTGTGTAGAGCTGAGCGAGGCGCGCCTGAACTCGCCTCAGGGTGTGTGCTGGCTGTCGGGCAGCGTCCTGGCAGTCTGCGACACCAACAACCACGCAGTGCGCGCTGTACATCTTGACGATGGCACTGTTGAGATCCTCGTTGGTACGGGGGAACAGTCGCACACCGGGGATTTAGGTAAGACTATGAATCTGATATTTTTCAGACGACTATAGGCAGTTCAGTTTGGTATTTTAGCAAAATCAGATGATCGCTTGCTTGTTTGCTGTCTTTTAGTAAAACAATATCTGTGTGCAGGAGGCAAGTGCCTCGGCATGCAGGCGCTGTCGTCTCCATGGGATGTGGTGCTGTACACCACACCCGACATGGACATGTCCATCCGGCCGCAGCTACCCCCGCCCCCGCCTCCTCCCCGCCCTCAGCCCCGCCACGACACACAGACAACACGACAAACAATGACGATGCCAAAGGTAACCAACTATACCATATTTATTTCATATTATTATAGATTTATTTTGTTTTATTTCGTTTTCTCGTCATTTTTTTTTTTAGAGAAAGACAAAAAAGATGAAAAGCGACGCGTAGTGCTGATAGCGTGTGCGGGCTCGCATCAGATCTGGGCTCTGTTTCTTGACAACACCATTTGGTGGAAATACAAAAGTTATACTGAAGGTGAGTTAAATTTCATTATAGAAATATGTACAACTGGAAAAAAAGTTGGCAATGTTTTTTGTAACAAGAAAACATTTTTTTTTGTTTAGGTACTTGCGTATGTATCGCGGGATCTGGCGTGGAGGCGGCGCGGAACAGCGCATACCCCAACACCGCATGCTTTGCACAGCCCTCCGGACTCACATTGAGGACTGGTACAAGCACACATACTCAGTTTCATACTAAATCTATACTTAAGGTGACTAGTTCTTTCACGCAGGACTCACACAAATGTATTTTTATAATACAGGTACGAACCCGGAGATGTTTATCGCCGACTCAGAAAGTTCCTCGATCAGAAGACTTACGTTGTCAACTGGACAAGTGTCTACATTGTGCGGCGGGGACCGCAACCCTTTGGTATGTGTCATTTTATATTCAAAGTTAATAATTAATTAATTATTAGCTAGTTTATTATATTTTGTTTACAGAATCTCTTCGCTTTCGGGGACGTTGATGACATCGGCGTGGAAGCCAAGCTTCAACACCCGCTGGGCGTCGCTTACTGCGAGGCTAACAAGACTCTGTACGTAGCGGACACTTACAACCATAAGATAAAGAAAGTGGACATTGGACCTCAAAAAGTAACCACATTGAATCCTACTATGATTGAAACATCGGACCCCGCTATTTTCAACGAGCCGTCCGGCCTCTCAGCCAGTGCGGACGGAAAATATTTATACATAGCCGACACCAACAACCACAGTATTAAAATTTTAAATCTGGCCAAGAACGTGTGCCAAGAGTTTAAAGTGCGCGTCCCGGATCCCAAATTCACGGAGCCGGAGAATCTGATCCTTTACAAGAACGATTTGTTCATCCACAAGAAGTGCGGCAATCTTATCATTCACTTTAATATGAACTTGGAAGCTGACCAGAGCAAGGACGGCAAGACGACTGGTCGTGCGCCGCAGTTCACGCCGGGAGCTCCACAGAACTGGCACGTCTGGATCAAAGACGACACAAACAAAGATGTCACCCTCGATGAATTCGACTTCGTCTCCGGCTCCCGGAAAGGCACAAAGCTACCCGGCCGAGTCGAAATGAAACTTAAACATCAGACGGATAAGACTCATTATCTCTTGTACCTCAGTTTCCAAACATCTCTGTGCGATGCTTCGGTTTGTTACTCCCACTTCTTCACAGTCAGGTCGACGATTCTAGTCCGCGACTCCGTGAAGCCCGTGGAGTCGTACAGGATTACGTGTAAAGTGAATCCCGCGATGACTCGTGCTAGCAAAGCCGAACAGAGCAAGAGATAATTTTGTACCAGCAAATGTCCGCTACTTCCATTGATTACCTTCAAATGTAGTCTTAAGAAAATACTGTTGATATTAATTCATATATATAAGATGTAAAATGCTTTATTTTTTGTTTATGTTTTTATATCATTGTTATAAAAAATGCATAATAAACTCCGTGAAAATTAAATTTGTTTCTATTCTCCTGGATAGTTCTTCAAAAACAGAAAAAAAATTATGAAGAAAAGGATATGTAGAAAGATGAATAGAATCCCTAAGTCCCTTAGAGCTGCACTATCTAAAGTTGGATGTAAAAAATACCATGAATTAGATGTCATAGAAGTTATAAAATATAGATGGTGACCACTTAAAACGGTTGCTATGAGCCGTACTACGATCACGATAAGAAAAGCGGCCCCGACATTTATTGGCAGGAAGCGTGTCCTCTGAAGTTACGTATTTACCAGATCATGATGATGTTGACCTTACTGCTTCAAACGGGGGCTTATCGGCCGCTCTGTATTACGCTTGCGCTACAAATGTCGACCGCCACAGACGAACACAAATGCAAATGATTAAAATATTATAATATAAACAAAACTTTATAGGACAACCATTGATAATTAGATTAAGACTAGGAACGTTTAACTCCTACGTGAAACGAATCAAGCAGTTTGGTCCATAGTATGTAGTGTCCATTTATAGTACTGACTCGACTCTACAGTGTAGATTCCATCCCGCCCTAATAAGTTTTAAAATGACCGGTATTTCAATGCCTATTACTTACAGTAGAGAACATTTTTACTCTGGTATATATGTATTCAATAATCTGTGCATTGCAAAAATCTAAAGCTCACAAGGATTATCACGTTAAATCCAGTGATAATGGTCAAGCAAAGGTCAGTTACTAGGTAACACGGTTACATATCACGACAGACGCATCCGATATCAAGGTCTTTATACATACTAAGGTTTAATCAACTCTGAGGTCTCGAAATTACGTCATTGCATTGAAATTAGATCGGCGTAATTGCTTTGCTCTTTGCGACCGGACAATACTTTAGTGAAATTATTACGTAAGCCTTTTAATAATAATCTTTACAATACATATGTCTCGATAGTTGTTTCTTGTTATTTTAATACGAATTAATCTCAGACAACTTAATAACTTTGGATCTACATTAGTTGGTTCGTAATTACTTACTCTTTCCAAAGTGTAAAAAAGCCAATGCACCAGTAATGGTGGCATAATTTAAAAATACGTACAAACCCAGCTTGCTTATTATATCCCTTAAATGTCATTAAAGGCCTTATCTTTGTTTTTTCATATGAAGACAAAGAATCTGATAGATAACAGGAATTGCAGTTAAATATCGCTTACAGCTGTACTAGAATTAATTCATAAATCGCATCTACAACAATTGCTAGTATCATATATTAAGATATACATAAAAGAAATTTGTTAATAGTAAATTGTTTCATCGGCTTTAAGATAATTAGTTGTTGCAAGAGATCTATTCACACGAACCCACCTCGCTGAACTTTACGCATGTAAAACGTATTCATTTGTTTAATGGAGACGTATTATGAAATTGAGGGGTACTTATTTTGTAACTGACCTTACCTATCTTATATGTTTGTGATTAGGACGATTGCAATCTCCATGGGTAGGTCAGCGATCGATGACCTTTCGGCTTGCAAAGCGTAATGACAATAGCTTGCATTTTTTGTCTCGACAATGGACTATCCATTGGTCAATAGTTTTAGAATTATATGAAAGTGAATCTATTACGTTCAAGTAACAATTAATTTATATTTTATTAACATGTCGTCACATAATGTGCATTTTATTGTGTCAATATAACCTCAATGTATGCAATTGTAAGTCCTTGAAACGAATGCAGCGATGTCGATCATTGTTGGGACCGTAACGTGCTTGTAATCATTAATCAAGAGTCTACGAACAGGATAACAGAACAATAGGAAAATTCACAACAGGTCAGCATTCAGATAAGAAATATATTTTTATAAAGTATGTTGTTAAAAAGTAACTGCAACTTAATTTTTTAAATAAAAAAAGAGATCTTATATTATAAATGCGAAGGTTTAGATAGATGGAAAAGGATGTTTCCAGAACGGCTGCATAGATCTCGCTGAAATTTGCCATAGAAGTAGCGTATAATTTCAAAGAACACGTACTACTAATAACTTTTTTTTAAATCAACGAGGACGGTGTCGCGGGCGACAGCTAATACTTTTCATAATCGTATGCAAATAATGCCATATATTTATTTTGGACGATCTCAGAAACTATCGCAAATTCGTGTTCCTCTTAGTAACCGATAGATTATAGAATTGCACACGAGGTAATTACGTATTGATAATAAAACATTATAATTAAGTCATATATAATTCCACTAAACAATGTTAATTAAATAAACAATATGCGAGGAAATGAGTAACGTTTTGAATAACTTATATATTTATTAACTGCTTATATTCATAAAAATGCTTCATCTGTTGAGCTTTATTTATAGGTAAATTATGTAAAGTTACATATGGAATTTTTCCGGCGCGAGATTGGTATGCAAGCTCTACATCGGTCTATTCATTCAAATGCGACGATGTAGGCATGTTATTTTACTTTTTTGCAGCCCTATTTAGCATATAATTTACTAAAAAAAAACTGAAAATACATAATCATTAGACAATTTACCTCCAGATTCAATTATCTTTATACTATTATAAATTAAGTTTTTTTTAATATTATAGGAGAAGAATACATTTTACTATAAGGAGTCCCTTTAGGCAAGGACTCCTTTTAATAACATATTTTAGTAAATTATTCGTTTTTTTAGTATTTTATTTTATATCATAGATTTAAGACTATTTCGTAATCGTAAATATATTTTACTATAAAATACTAAGTCGCTTACTTTGAGTCAATTATCTTTTTTTAACATAATATGAGTATTGGCTTGGGTATGTGAGAACTACATCGTGATAAATCGCCACTGTAAGTTTTGACTGGACTCATGTTTCCATCTCACAAATTCTTAAAAAAAAAACAGAAACATAAAATATTATAAAAATATATATATAAAATTAATATAGTCGTTATTTATTTGTGATTTATACAAAGAATACTTTTGTCCGAAAGGTTGTCTGCGAGAGTCACATGGCCGCTTCTTGTGTTGCGATGTGATATTCCTTGAGGTCTTTAAATATTGTGCTACAAGTCGTGTGATCTCGAAGGTGAAATCTGTAACCGTGGAACTCCACTGCTGTAACATTTAAAATGATACAGATTGCCATCTCTTTCATTCTCTTTGATAATATAGAGACAATAATAATGCCTATACAATTATCACGGTAGTGGAATTCTACGGTGATATTTTACGAATACCTAGAGTTTATATTAGAGTATTGAGGTATCGAACGTTACTTATTGTCTCCTACAATGCATTTTCTCGCCGCACAATGACTTTCCCACGGTTTTTTTAGCAAACAATAGACACAGTTTGGCAATATTTTTTAAGTGAATTACAACATACGTTTGCAAAATTTAACATCTATATTTAAAGTAACTTAGTACTTTGTGTTATTTTGTTGCAGTTTTAGTTTGTAAAGAATTGGAAAAAGACGATATTTTTCGACAATAATTATGTACTGCATTGTTTTGTGTTTTATATCCCTTTAGATTAAACTTGATTGACTCTAATTATAATCCTCTAAATCCCCTATGTGAGGTTACCATAAATTTACAAATTATACTCATGTTAAAGTAACAAAATCAGACACTAATTACCGCACCCAGGGTTCTTATTTGGACACTAACAGAGTGTGTTTTCCGTACTAAATCTCAACTAAGGGTAAACAGTAAATATGACTTAGAGATATAATAAGGTGCATGAATGGATATGCTTTATTCTTTACAAGATTATCCTTAAATAAGTAAATGCAAGAATGTAAATAGCACATGCATAAGTTTTAATGATACCCATAAAGAAGCCAAGTAAATGTTAATCTACATGCGATATAATACATATTCAGTATAGTTACATCTTCCTGTTTACTCTATTACCGTGGGTCTCCGAGACTGAAATCTCTGTACAAAACATATCGTCATCTCTGTCTTTTATCTTTGACAAAACAGAGATACCAATATGTTTTAAACGGGGACTTTGGTCTCAGAGTATAACGTTACTAAATCTAAATCCCTGATTAAGACGACATGTTGAAGTTAGTTACTTATGATGGTACAGAAAGCTTGAGTTACTTAATAGGTTTATGGACTTTGTTTAGTCGTCGGAGTCGAATCTCCAATTAGCTCAAATCTTTAAAGCCTAGTCTTTTATAACCTACCAAAATTTCGAAATGTTTTTGATATCCAAAGTGTTATGCTGCAAATATTATTTTTTTTTAATCTATTTTTTCGTACGTAATGTTTCATAAAACTTACTCTCGTGAAGAACTTACTATAGAAATGATCCTATGAAGTAAGGTCTTCATAAAACTTACTCAAGTAAACTGATTATTATCGACAGCTAAAAGCTACTTATGAAGTTGTCGAACTGTGTACAAAGTGTGTATTGTGCCGATGGGCGCGCTATCCAGGGCAACGTCGTGTTCAAACGGATAATGAGGTCTTGAGAACAAAGTCGTTTTGCAACATTATAAATAAAATCATAAAATTTTAGTACTAAAATGATAAGAAACAAAACCATTGTAATTTTGCTAAAGGCTTTTGTAAAGATACGAACTGTTCATCGTTGACCTAAAATGATACATTTATTTTATGTGTTGATCTAAATATTAAAGATTATAAACAGACATAAAAATATAAGACTTCAACATACTTATATTGATTTAAAATTTTCAGAGATAAATTCAAAACTTTACGATATAAAGTTAGGTCATTAAACTTGCACAAAAATCGTAACTGATTGATTTATTGATAACTTTTTTACATTTTTTATGATTATTGTACATTTATTGGTATTTAAATTATATTTAAATAATTATGAATAACCTTTAATTGTATCTATATAACAATTAAGTTGAGTGAGACCAATAAAAACTTTTCAATAATAATTCACAATATTCGCAGTTCCAATCACAAGCAATTAATGCTACGAAATAATTAAAAATGCTATATCATGACGGTTTATTTGA